GCTGCCCGTCTTCCCCATTTCTTCACTTTATCCGGCAACAGCCGCGAACCCTATTCTGAATTTTGATTTTACATTGGTATATTGATTGAACAAAAAGGAAGTGAAAAAGATTGTTTTATTTTATAATGACATAATTATAACAAGAAAAAGTAGAAAATATTCCAAAAGTGGGAAGGAAACTGTTTTCTTTTTCTCGGTGGTCATAATGCCAACACGCATTGGAAGTAAGTTTTGGTAAACCCTCCTGAGCCAGTTAAAAAATACACTTTCTAATGAAAATGGCAAGTGTTTTGCCTGCGAAAAGATGGTGCGAACAATGGTGATTTTGTCAGCTCCTGCTACCTACAAGTTCCATCTGGTCTAGATCAGATAACTAATCATTGTTCATAATTTTTTATCCGGTTGCTACAATAAGTAGGAAGGTCATCAAAAGGCAACGAATAATCAAGTTGTAAAAGTGCCCTAACGAGTCATAACCCCGAAGGCTAGTGCTCTGAGATGAGCGAGTTCCGTTGCTCGCAACAAGCTCACAAAAATGAATTGTGTGTGCTACATCGTGTGAATGGAAAATGGAAAACGGTTTGATCAGATGTCCACCGGTGGCATACTGGGTAACCTGCTTGCGATTTATCTGTGAGGTCCAGGGTTCGCGGTCAACCGTTACGGGTCGATGGATTCGCTCAATGCTGTTGATGAAACCCAACCAGGTCGAAACAACAGCTGTCCAGTAGTGCTTCCCGGTTTTACAGTTCACGTTTCATTTGCTCTATACACACACGACAAATTCCCTCCACACACAGAGATTGTTAAAGCGGGGAAATCGAATGAAATGTAGTGGAGAAAGTGGTCTGTTAACTATGATTTTTATTGTTTCCATTAATATTATTATTGGTATTATTACTATTAGACCGACTCTTTCGAATGGTGTGTAAAGAAAAAATGTCAGAAACAGTTGAGTGGTCTAAATGAAAGAACCTTGGCATGAACCCCCATAACTGCAATTATTTTTCCTTTGTGAAAGGGCAAAAGTATGGTGAATTATCAAATGCCAGTCCACCTTTATCTATCCTCAGTTACCAGATGGAACAACAATCGTCTGTCAAGTACCTTGGTGTTATTTTCAACCGTAACCTCACTTGGTCTGACAAGGTTATTAACATTTTTCTGAAGGTCAGGAAGCTCATGTTTTATGTTTTACTTCTTAAATCACTTTCTGTCTCGAACCATCTCATCAGGACGTTTTTTTTGCTTGTGTTTTGCTCCACTGGCTTTATGGACCCCTGTTATCTTCCCCAGTCTCTATCACAAGCTACTCAAACTCATTTCCCGATCCCTCAAGTTTCTGTCGATTAGTAGTCTCATACCACGGGAACATCTGATACAGTATGTGGTGACACATCACCTCAAGTCCTGTAAAACGTTCTCCAATAAGATTTTATCTCATATTTCCCATTCCCTTTATTCCGCCTTTAGTCAGTGCCTTCTTCACGCATCCACCCGTTCCACTCACAAACTTTTAAAGACAAGCTCTGAAGCTTACCGTATCTCGCCAGATTTCTAACAAACCTTGAACTCGTTGCAGGATATCTGCCCAAAACGCTAAACTAAACCAATCTTAAACTTTGGGTATGTCAGTAGTTTCGGATTTTGCTGTCCGTTTTCACGTCTGCTGATTGTTGTATTATGTTTCTTTCACTTTTTGTTCACACACTGTGGTTATGTGGTTGATGAATATCCACCTTTCAAGGTGTATGAAGCGATTCGTTGACTTGACTTGACTTAGAAAGTTATAATTGAAAATATTGAATTTGAATCGTTTTGAGAGTTTATGTATATTTTTCTTTTGCAGTGACTTTTTAATGTCTATTTCCCGCAAATATAAAGTGCAACGGGGTTCCAGTGAGATTTCTCTGCTTGTCGGTTGGTAACCATTGGTGTTGAACAATGTGTTTCAAGGCAGCACTACAGTCCGTTTGAAACTTAACTGAATCAATGTACACGATAGAAAACGATATTTCTTGCCTTCAGAAATTATCCAGCGGAATAAGTACATACCATAATGATAGAAATGCCAGAAATCAAGCTGTAAGTTGTGACAATAAAGACAGCGAAACTCATGAACAGTTTTACTTATACCTAGCTATCCAAGTTTTCACTAGTAGAAGCGCACCTCAGTTCAGTGTCTGTAATTCCGTAGTAGCCGCAGGAAATCACAAGATGATAGTGATCATGTTTTATCCGTCGGTCCACTACGTTTGATGTCCATAAACTTTGTTTCAAACAGCATTTTTAATACTTATCAACATGATTTATAACCACTAAATGAAGCTCGTGATCATAACGAATACATAATGAAGATGGAAAGGGACTGAGTTACAAAATAAATCTTTTGATTCTGCTTGTGATTCAGATTCACCCTGTCTCCTCAAACCACCATAATGAACTGTCAATCGCCAAGATCATGCATTTATTCCCTCCTAACAATTGATCCGTTTACTTGAATGTTTGAATTTCACTCGATCAATACGCCAACATGGATCAACTTGTTATCACAACTAAACTGAGAAGTCGATTTCCGTCGCCTACACATAATATACTCGGAGACTAGACCAAATTTCACATTTTATTCTTGTTCTGTATTACACTGTGTTGCATTCACACGTCCTGACATAATAAAAATCATTTAAAAAATACACCCCCTATTGGTACACCTTTTCCTATAAAGCTTTATCCTACACTTTTTAAACTCAGGACCAATAAACTGGATCTTACGTGGATGTTCCCCTACTGTCCCTTTTTACAGTATACTATTTGTCCATGGGAATTTCCCCTTTTACTGTAATTCATATTGTGTAATAAAAAATGTCATTTGTTGATGCTTCTTAAGCAACAACACTTATTCCGAGAACGAGTAACCCTTTTTTAACAAACAGATCGACTGCGTTCTGTTTCGTTCAGTTTTGTGGGCGAGCTACACGTAAGGTTTGGTTGCTATGCCCATTCACCCAAGTTCACTGCAACCTCTCCCACTGAACAAATATTATTATTCCAATAGACCCATGATTCTGTACACAGCTCGGATTGCACCGTANTAAGCCCAAAACTCGTCCATGGTTAACTATGACCAGTGGTCAGCTTTGACTACTGAGCTATCGTCAATGTTAGAGCAACTACGAGCAAATGTACTTTAGCTGTAGTGGGCACGACACTGCGTCATCCTTCGTGCATATCGAGTGGCGTCCCACTTGGTTGTCACAAGCATGGCTTCACCGACCCACCCATTTGACGTCCGTCACAGAGCTCGAAAAGATGCACGACTGCGGTCGGCCTCATTTCAGCACAGAAAGAGCGTGGGAAGACAGGTGGTCGATCCGGGGGTAGAAAAAATGTATGATCAATTGACCAATGAGGTGCGCTGAACCGAAGCGGATCCAACCACAGCATTTCTTTCTCAAGTCTAAGTGATGGTTTCTCAATTCCAAATGACGGTTTCGCAAATGAAGATTATAGTTTCTCAAAGCTATCTTAAAATGGTATAGTAAGTAACCTTATCGTTCCTGTATTTAACCATTTGGGGTGGTGATCACGGATTCGTTCGGACAAATGCCTGACCGTGCGGCCTATATACGTTATTCTACAAGAACATGTAGATGAAACGGCAAAATCCGGCATTTTGTCCTTCAGTCGTAAACACACAATTGTGTGGGACGTAAACGAAACATTGAGGTTTGCTGCATAGAAGGTTTTACTAAGAGCGTCGGATAGTCTCCTTTGTATTATCTCTGCTGATCTATCCCCCTTGAACGGCAAAGCAATGTATACCGACTTCTTTCTGACCACGATCTTCTTCACAATATCTACACTGTACTGAATCAACTTGCTAACCAGTCATTCTGGAAGGATAGTGCATAACAACCGTCTATTGTGTCCTCGGTACAAATCTATCAGGTTATTTTCCCACATTCAAATTTTGATCATTATTTTCTCTTCAATGGGGCGAAGAGATATGCACACATGATTTGAGTAGCAAACTTAGTAAACTAAAAACGGTTATTTGAGGCAACTTGTGATCACGCCTGTTATTTTACTCTATCGGTGTTCTTAAAACCGTCAGTTTGGATAGTCAACCTGGACCAAGCACCTGCTTCGAATCTGGGAGATCTTGATCTCTGTAAACGTTTGTAAACTGCTGACATTAAGGACTCAATTGCCCAGAACCGTTGATGTATTTTAGCAATGAATCGACCAGTATTTTGGATCCATTTACGGTAAAAAATGAAACACCCCATTTGTGTTTGCCTCAGTATACTGCGGGGCATCATAATTGCCTGTTGTTGGTATAGAAAAGACTCGAAACAAAATGATTTGGTTCAATATTACTTCACTTGTTCCCTTTCCATCCTTTATCCCCCCCTCTAGTCTGTTCGAAGAGCATTCCGATTTTCGAGATGCCTTTGCGCGTTTCCGTGGCAAACAGCTGGTCGAAATAACACGGGATCCGGCACTGCAAGCTCATGGTCTACGAGTGTTAAATGTGGTGGACAAACTTGTGGGTCGATTGCAAAAGGTGGAAGCAATACAGGACTTTATACTGTCTCTGGGTTCGAGACACTGCAAATATGTTCCCAGTATCAATCTAATTCCGGTGGGTTCCCATGTGGTTGGTATTAGGTCGAAAGATATTATTTATCAAACCCCTTTTATTCATCGTCGTCACACCCATAAATGATCGAAGTAATAGTAGGTTTCGTAAAATTTGCAAGCTTTAACCGAAACCCCGGAGGTTTTTGTTGTTTCCTATCAACTGCCCTGAACACGTTTTTATGATTCTCCATGGGCCAAGCATCCGAGTGTGAAAGTGTATGGTGGTACACCCATCCCTGTCTTTGAGAATTACTCAGATCCTACTCAGACATCAGACGACAACTTTCTGGCACAACCTAAAATAGGGATGAGATACACTACTTATTTAGTTTTGTTTTGCGAAGGACCATACATATCAAATCACACCCTAATTAATGCAATACAAAATTTATTCGTTTCATTAATCCCAGAGAACACATTCAAAACAACAGCGTGGCGAACAAGCTCGTTTTCAGTTAGTCGTAATCCTGCCATGACATAACATTAAATATGACTAACGATAAGAAATAAAACAGGGGATGAGAAATTCCAGTCCTAATGATTCAGCTGTGGCTCCAATCATGCGTGCGTGTGTTTGTGTGAAAATTGATCAGTGTCAAAGGTTCAAGTGATTGCACACGTGTTGAAGTGACTGAAGTGAGCCAGGGGAGATTAAGTGTTTGCACAAATTTCTTCGGGGCGCGGGGGGGTTTGTGATTCCGAATACTTATGGCTTCGGCCGTGGCTAAAATACCATGCTTCACGGCTTTTGATTGCCTGCATCTCGTAAATCGGTCGGAACGCGTCTGCCACATTTGCTGAGTGATCTGACTCAAAATTTGTTGTTCATGAATAGTAAGCTTTTCCGACAACTAAAAATCAATTACATTAAAAAACCCTAAAAGGTGTTGTTTCGTTGAGAAACAACAGTTTTGGAGTACACCACACTTGGTGAAAATTATCCTGTTGAAATCCGGGGACTCCCAAATGCATCAACTGACAAAAGTTCCAGGGATCTGCGCGGGATCTATCCTTTCCATTTGGTTGATTGATTTTTCAAAGGCACGATTGTGATTGGTTGAGGTTCATAGAATATGTGAGTCTGAGTCATGGACACTTGTTAACGGATTTTTGTACCATTAAATTTGGATGCAAAACCACAAAGATACCGACAGTTATTAAACAAAGAACACTAATTTAGTTTCATCTGTAAAAAGTCCCATAAAAAATGTTTCCTTGCGATTACAATAGTTTATTCCTTATTCTATAGCTTTCACGGTGCTACATCAACATCTAACCTACTTGACCAGTTCACTTCACTCAATCTTTCCGATTCCCGTCAACATTTTCTTACAGTAAGGCTGCCGAGTCAGTACTACAATAGATGTCACGCGCGATCATAACAATTCGAATGACAACTTGATATCTCAGCATCACAATTCAGGAGTGTTCCAGTGAGCCGACCTTGAGAGATATGTTAACCGTTGTCCCAATCGAAGCATAAATTTATAGTCATTACATATTGATTATCTGAAGTATTCCATCTTTTAGGCAAGCTAGAATTAAATTGATAATACAATAGATAGATATTATTTTTGTTTCAATGGACAGATAGAAGTAATTGATGCAATCATATCTGCTTTCTGTCTCTTTTTTACCAATAATCGATGTCCATAAGTTTGTCTTTTTCGCGTTTGCGACAAATAAAATGGGGCAATCTCGGATCTTCAAGAGTTTTATTCTGAACAAGCAGACGATGGTCTTCTCCTTTCAGATTGAGACCTCTGACAANCCTTAATATCTCAACCCATACTTGACCAAAATTGATTTATCCTGTGCAGTACGGGTAATAACCAGCCGCAATCATCATGAAATTGACCGAAAATGATTTTTTGTTATACTCAAGGAGTAACACTACCCTGTTTCGGTATGTTTGTTGTCGGAACCTTGATGATCCGTTTAAGTTTTCAAAGAGTGGGTAGCATGCTCGCGTTCAGCCTATGAGGTTCCGGATTCGATCCCCAGTTGGGTCGATCGATCCGCACTACTGATGAAACCCGACCAGTTCGAAATAGCTGTCCATTGCTGCCAGCTTTTCATTTAATGAGTCATTCGCCATGTACAAGACGAATTCACCTATGAAATCGAACCGAATCCTACATTACTAGGTTTTCTTTGGTCAAGCGTGAAAATCTGGGATATCACATTATATGAAAAGTAGATGAAATGATAAATTTCAAAATATGCCCTTACTCACATTTAGAACACAACTTTAGGCGAACGACTATTTTTAATAACTCATACCTCCGCCGTTACATTTTATATGAGGGGAAAAACCTAGGAGTTGGAAGGAGAACAATAAAATGTGAACAATCATTCATTTTGAATATGCATGCGTGTGTTTTGCACACCGCATTCTCAGTTCTGTGTTTCCGAGGTTTTCATTTGTGTCAATTCGGTCATGTGGCCCAGTTCTGAGGGATCGGTGTTGTTGTGTGAAAATGTGTGTGCGGGCAGGGGGGACGGGTGGGTTCGCGAAGCCAGGGGAGATGTATACCTTGGATAAGACGCCTCTGGGCACATTGCTCGGGGGTCAAATGTTTCATACAGATGACTTCGGCTATGCGCAACGTATGCATTTAAACATAGAATGCGATTGCTCCATCGTTTACCATCGTCTCGTCCATCTCACCAGTGACCTTAAACAAGTATATTCCCTCTAACCCTTCTCTGTGATCTGATTGGATCATATTCCACGATCTGCGGCGCTTAAAATCCCTCACCCTGTCTGATTACTGGTCTGTGTGTGTGTGTTGATGGCACTCCTGCTGCACGGCCAAAGTTCACTGGGCCTGTCGGAGACTTACAGCTGTAAAAAAAGTACGGTTTCTCGCTCGGGTTTGCACCAGGTGCTTTGTTGCGACTGAACGATTCGGCCGATTGATAAATGAACCCGATCAGGCTTGTGATTTTCGGGCCGGCACAGGAGGAGTATAGGTTCCGCATCCAATGCTGCATGTACTGTTGGTAGAGGATCAGCTGTGGAGTAGTGCGCCACGTGGGAAATTTGTAATGGAAAATGTATTCGGATCTATCGGGGAACCTGATAAATCATGCGGAATGCTTCACTTGAATTAACACGATGACCAGTGTTTACTCACGTTTGTGTACTCGGTCAGATGCGTTTGTAACGCACTCTACATCGGTCGTACGTCACGGCAGTTTTCTATCCGCATGAATACCATGGCTGAGTCAAGGTGGTTCTGGATCTATCACAACTGCTCGCTCACTTGGTGATCAAAATGATCAATGCTATCAAATGCAGATAATAAGCATAATTGGAAATAATGTGGAACGATTGTATCTCATGATGTGGATGTTGGTGGTGGTTTGTTCTTCGAGTTGGAAGAGTTGTTTGCAGACGTTTCGTAGCCAGGCTAGGCAACATTCTCATTGCAATTGCAGGTATTCTACTTGATTAATCCATTTCAGTGACAGGATAGAAGGCCTTCAACGGAAGCACAGTCGTTGCTTGATTCGCCAGGTCACCTTTGGAAAGCCCTAGATGGAAAACGATCATGATAAACGTAAAACATAAACAGCATAAACAGCCGGTATGAGATGAAAAAGTTAAGCATCTCAGTGATAAAATAGTTTGTATCACCACAAGCTGGACAGTATTTATCTCGCATAGGAGAATATTACTACTCAGCTGACACCACTTTTACCGTCAAAACACAACTGCATGAAATAAACGCCAAATTAGTTTGTTCTTATTAGTTACCTAATGGTAAATTTAATATCGAGAAGCTATATTTGACTCTCACTGTGGTTTGATTTTAATGGTAAAATATTTCACCTATTTGTAATTATTTTTACGTTTCCTTTTTGTTAATGCTTGGGATCATCCTGAAATTTATGCTATTCAGTCAACTAGAAGTTGAGACAACCCGAAGGACCACTTGGGATGAACATTGCGTGCCTATTTCTTTTCGTTACACGTCGTATGCTGTCTAAGTCTGTTCAGATAAAATGCCATGCGTGCAAATTATCACATTTTCAGCACAACAGTGACTTTGCACTCACACTGTAGATACAGAAGAAATTTAGCTTCTCATGTAATAACTAAACAGGTTGTGAAAGTTTTCAACCGAGTCATAATCCTGGATGCTCGTAGTTATTCCCCTAGATTCCCCCGTTCCACCAGACTAAGATAACGAAATCGATTTTTGACTGTTTAGAATTAGATTTCGGGTTTCAAATTCTCTTAAATTGATTTTTGTTGCAAACGGTGCTGGCGACCATTCATGTGAACAATTGCAACCTTGGTGGTGTAATAATTCCACAACAGAGTACCGGGACGAAGAGCGGTATTATTTTAAGAACAATGTTGGACTTGGTTAGATGAGATTACACAGATTGAAACCTCCAATTTACAACAACTTTTCTCATTTTGTGATCCTTTCTTCACCGATGATCGTCAGTCCGGAAGTCTGAGGTTGCAATAATAAAAGTTTTATTCCGGTCACTGATACCCTGGGAATCCAATAACCGTTTTTTATGCGCTCGAACTGCTCACAAATACAGTAAGTACCTAATAATAATAATAATATTAATAATAATGATAATAATAATAATAGTAATGGTAGTAGCAGTGCATTCCACATGCCTCTGCGTACAAACTGTGTTCCAAACAGATTATAAGCCCATAAGATCTACTAAAAAAAGAGAAATTTCCGTGATGATCTTGTATGTGCGATATTGCCAGGTTTCCCAGGCCAAGGCCGGTGCATCTTCTCGAATAGTTCATAATCGGAGAGTTCAACTAGTTAAAGCCTTACTACCAAGGCAGCGGAACGATATGTGAGAACCACTATGTCTGGGTAGAGTTGGGCGTATCATGCACCACCATCTGGGGTCAGGGCCTGAATTCCAATCTTCTCAATATGACTCGGNGAATACCACCACAACAAAGAATGTGTGGGTAAGTGTGTTTTGTAGAGCTTCTTTTTGGTTGTATAA